GACAGACAGACAGACAGACAGACAGACAGACAGACAGACAGACAGACAGACAGACTGACAGAGGGAGAGAATGTTTGTGTGTAAGTTTGTTTGTGTGTATGTGTGTGTGTGTGTGCGAGGGAGACAGAGAGAGACAGAGAAAAATAGAGATAGAGAGAGACACATAGAGAGACAAAGGGAGTGTGTGTGTGTGTGTGTGTGTGTGTGTGTGTGTACGTGTGCGTGTGTTCGCGAGGGAGATAACGAGTGAGACAGATACGAACAGAATGATTGACAAAATGTTCCAACCCTATTTTACTTGCAGCGTCATAATCCTATTTCTGCAGGACCTCTAGAAATAACTGGAACATTACGTACTTGAGTCCGACTAAGATAAAGATGTATAAAATGAAAGGGGAGAAAGGACCCAGCAATGGTGACAATTAAAATGGGCTGTTTTTTGGTTTTTTTTTGTAAGCGAGTCTTGTGGTGTTCTATACAATGATAAGGTTCATGGTTTGGTAGCTAATGGCTTCACTGCCTAACGACATTATCTTTAGTTGACCATAATGATCATTGACACTTAACTATGACACTCCATCTAACAGTATTTGGCACGCGTAATCATCTCGATTTGCTAGCTGTTTTCTTTATTAAATCTTTATTCTCTATCTTTTCCCCGCCCGTTCCTCCATCCCTACTTTAGTAGAAATGAGGTTTCCAGTTACTCTTTTTTGCGGGATTTTTTTTTACAGACAACTTTTCAGAATAGAAATAGCCTTTGTACGGTTATAGAAAACCGAAATTACAAAGAAATAAACAAATTAACCTTCTTCAAATAACGACCCAGAAATCGATTTAAAAGTAACTCTATGTGTTCCTTTTTCTATAATTATTGTTTTGGAGGAAACGAAGCAGATGAAATGATGGCACCCCGGAAGCTCAGTTGGTATGATGCTTGATGGAGCGATTGTCCCTGGTTCGAATCCAAGATTGGGTGATCTTGAACTCGGGTCCTTTTGTGGACTTTCCAAGGCTCTCAAATCATTTACCTATCGGTCCTATTGGAGACGGACGTTTAAAAAGGCAGGTCCCACCTCTTAAATAACCTATTCGTGTTGATAGGAACGTTAAACCCATACACGTTTTACTTAGTTGAAATGACACTGGATTCCTCAGTTCGTGATTATTCATGAAGCACAATTTTGTGCTTGGTAAGCATTGTCACCATGACGTGTGTCCGGTGAAACATCCGCGATCTTCACGACACTTATGGCGTAGAGAATCCTGGAGAGTGCTTGTTGTTGTTTGTCTCCAGCCCCCACCACTTGAGGCTTCCTCCGCCGTGATACGTACGTCACAGTCGTGATAGCTGAGGGTACTTGACTTTATACCACTTGTAGGACGGACCCACCCCATGTGATGTACAGCATTAGTGTCACGAC